CATTATAAACTAAAGTATTTCAACAACCTTATCGAGAATTTCTATCCCTTTTTTTACTGAACTGGTGCGGGCAGCTGAAGTTGCGAAAATGAAACTAAAGCTTTTTTCTAATATGGCTGAAAGTTTACCACCGATTTTTTAAATCCTCGCCGATAATTCAAAACCTACGATATTTCAGAATAACTCTTCTCCCTTTCAGCTAATTTACAGTCGCTTTCTCAAGCTCTCAACATTTAGAAACTAAACAAAACCGGTTTTAGCCACATGCACTCCTTGTAGCAATCATCATGGTTCCAACTAAGTGCTTTCCGAGGGAAACAAGTGACAAATCTGCTACTTAGTCCAAACAAACTAAAAGCCCTTTTTTCATAATCGAAGTGCCTGAAATTGTTGTAAGTCAAATAAAAAAAGGTTCTGTCGATTTGTTGTATTTATCTAAGTTTTTGTCGTACCACATTTTTAAAAAACCTTTCAAAGTCTTCAAAGAGTTTCCTAGTAAAAACAAACAATGGCTACTTAGCCAATTTATTAACTTGAAGTTGTAATAATTATTGGCTTTAAGTTTTTTTGTTGTTGTTTTGTTACCTTTTTTTTTAAATAGAGATGATTCGAGATATTTCATCATCGCCTTTGAAGAAGAATTTGTTTCCAACTTCATTCAAACTTAGAGTTCCAGTTTTCACAAAATTATACATACAAATATCTATTGGGGCTGTGGAAATACATTTATATTAGGAAGTAAAATGTTTCAGAAGAACTTTTGGCCCAATTTCAAATCGAGCTTTGAGAATTCACACAATTATATAAATATGTCAACTTTTGAAAGGCGTCGAGACCCGAATTTTTCTCAGGCTTCTTTTTGGCAATTTCTCTCATCACATGCAGCTCACCTGAGCAGATCATATCTTCACTTTTATATTATAACATGGGTAGTGGTGGTCATCGTGTTAAATAATAATTTCAAAAGATAATTGTAATCGTTTGTCTCACGATGTGGTCGATTCGGATGTGTAGTTTTATTTATTTGAGAATCAGAAAACGATTGCATCGGAGATTGCTGCCGGAGATTGCAGCCTTTTCTGACTCCGTTCTCAGAGACAGAAAAGGACATAGCGTTACAATTAAACGCATTTATCAAATGTCAAATGCTGCAAGAAGCCTTACTCCACCAGGGAGAGATATGCAGAGAGTTCTTGTCTCAGTTTAAGTATTGTAATAGCAATTTGGTAAACATCCATTTTATTCTCCTCGATCCAGGAATAAAATGTGCTGACCAAGATTGGGGCCCTTCTGACCGAGCAGCTGAACAAAGCTATTTTCTTGAAGAGGAGTTCCATTATTTGGACGTTACTCAGATCAGAAAGTTGGCGATATTCGATATGTTTCATTGCGCCCTGGCATGCCTCCGAAATAATTTGTGCCTCTCTTTAAACATGGCGACCTCTCATGGAACAGACGGAAAACTTTGGTGCGAATTACTGTCTTCTGATAAAAACAGAAACGCTGGGAACTACCACAAAAACACGAGTTCGCATCATTTTTTCATTCTGCGGGTAAGAACACTAACGCAAGGCATTTACAAGTGAATACATAAAAAAGTACCCGCTCTCGACGAGGTATGCTTATTCACAGCTATCGCAAGTACTGTTCAAGCATTTATTGGGTGGTCTCAACAGTCATTTCCTCTCTTTCAGTCTCCTTGTTCTTCATCACCGTGTCAAAACGGAGGAACCTGCATCCCGAATTTCAGCTCCAACACTATTGACTGTATTTGTAAAGAAAGTTTCGTTGGAGAATTTTGCGAAAAAGGTAATTCACGAATATGTTTGAAATATCTCACTGTCTCCCTCTTCCGTACTTTTTTAACAATAGAATACATGCGGCTCTAACATCACACTCTATCTTTCAGCTGTAAAATCATGCAAGGAAATATATGAGGCAAACAAGTAAGAGGCTTTCACTGCTTGCTCTTTTAAACAGATCCTTTCTAAAATCTTATCTTCTGTGACACTGGAGACGCAGAGGTGGCCAGTTTGCTACAGCCACGTTGGATCTAAAACAGAGTTCGGTGACACATCAGTCAGGAAGTTTAATAAGTACAAATGATAAAGATTAGCATCATAAGAGAGTCAAATACTTATGTAACTGCTCCACTTGTATATTAACAGATCAAACATGAGTAAATTGGTTTCTCTTCATCTGGGCTCACAGCCAGCTACAGTTCTATGTCACATGGGAGATTTTGGATGTGGACATGGAGGATGGACGCCAGTTATGAAAATTAACGGCAACGAGGTACCATGCAAAATCTATTTTTTATCGATTGCGTACCATTATCGACCACTTGAGAGATATTTCTCCACAGGTGCTGACTGACTTATTGACAACGAGGGCGACTTCCGCTCTCTGTTCATGTCTCCGGCTGACATCTATTTGACTGAGGGGACAGATAGTGTATGTCAAACGGGTTGGGGGGAGGGATCGTCTCAAATTGTCTAAAAATGAGCAGGATGATACGGTGCATAATTAGAAAAACAGTAATAAATTTACATCATATTATAAATTATTCTCTCAGAGTACCTTTCACTATGATTCTGGTTACTGGAGTAATAAAACTGAATACAACACTGCTGGAGGGGAGACTGGATTCGACTCACAAGAGACCAAGTTGCCTACTTACTGGGGCACATCCTTCTCCAAGATCTGTCTCGGTATGAAGATCGGTGAACAGATCAGATTCGTTGTAATCAATATGAAGGCCAGCTCTCTTTACTCATTGATCGCTGACGGAAAATACCGAAACACCTCGTTGGGTCGTGACTCGTGGAAAACACTAATTGGCTCAGAGGCCTCCCTGCAGTCTGACTGTAACAAGGAAGGATTTAATGTTCTGTGTAACAAGTCTCATCACTCCAAAGCGAGAATCGGCATCGCTTCTAACAACCAGGATGACTGCCTCTCTTGCGACTCCAGGATTGGGTTTGGTACAGGAGGGCAATTTGATGACAGTAACACATGTGGAAACGAGGCTTCTTCTTATTCACCGGATAATGGGGCTAAGCACATTAAAGCCAGGGGTTACATTTTGGTTCATTGAAACCAAAGAAAAACACGTAAAATTTATTCAAATGTTAAGATTAGATTCAAAACGATTCAGTAATAAATAAAAAGGTTTATTCAAAAATCTTAAAAGATAAGGTTTTTTTTTTGTTCTTCACATCAGTGACTCTTCAATTTACTCGAGCCTTTTTTCGGTTGTCTCGTAAGGCTGGAACGTCTTTCGTACATTTTTTGAAGGAAGAGCACTTGTCAGGAAAGATTCAAATCGTTCGCCGATCCATCTGAAAATAGAACTCGACAACGGCACCGATTTCGAGGAAAAACTCGATAATGTTGAAGTCTATCGTGAATTTTCACCGTTTGTGTGTCTTGTAAAGATATCTGCATAACACAACTTCCGTCCTGATTGAATTTTCCAACAGCATATACCACACAGCATAATGCACCTCATGGCCTCAAGCAGACTGACAGTATGCAGTCGAACGTCGCCATCCACATTCGAAGTGACCACATCGTGAGACAAACGACACTAATAGTCTCTTATGATGAAAAGATTATTTATTACGATGACAAACTACAGTTTTTTAGTTGTGCTTCCGTGGGCCCTCTTAACAAACAAATGGTATTACTATCAAAATCTAACTTGAGCTCGAATTCAGACTCGATAATTCGGACTTCACCCACAACAAATCTGGGATACCGTAGTCTACCATCGGATGTTACAGTATTGTTCTCTTTTAGATCCCATTTTAAGTTGAAAAAAACTATTAAACTAGATTCAGTTTTTTCCAAGAATCAGTGGGAAAATTGAGAGAAACTTAATTTTCAAATCAATTTTACGCTTTCAACAAAAGCTCTCCAATCATGCGACAACAGTCTGCTTTGAGTTACTTATAGCTCTACCTTTTTCATTTCTTCTTCATTTTTAACAGTACAATTTATCTCTAACATCAGTTTCTATCTTTAAGCTGTAAAATCATGCAGGGAGGTTTATGATCCAAACAAGTAAGTGGCATTAACTCCTTACTCGTTGAAACTCATTTATTGCAATAATTTTATCATATGTGATGCTGAAGATTAAATGTTAGTCTTGTGGTTAAATCACGTTGGACGTCTCCGACAAATAATTATAAGCGTTTGATAAGAAACAATGATACGAATTCCTCTAATCAAAAGAGAAAAGGACTTCTGTTCTTTCTCCAGCTGCACTTAAACAGATGAAACGTGAGTAAACTTGTCTCCATCCTTCAGGGCTCGGAGGCAACCTCTGTTCTTTGTCACATGGGAGATTTGAATGCGGACATGGAGGATGGACGCCAGTCATGAAGATTAACAGCAGCATGGTACCTCGCGGAATCGATTTTCTATCGATTAAGTGTCATAATCTTCTACTAAAGGGTATTCATAACTGTAACAAAGAATTGTACAATGTTATATGTGACGAGTCTCCTTACTCCAAAGCAAAAATCGGCATCACTACTAACAACCAGAATGATTGCGACTCTTGCGACTTTAGAATTAGGTTTGGTTCTGAAGGGGAATTCGATGACTCCAACACTCGTGGAAACGAGACTTCTCGCTCCGGAACAGATAATGGAGATAAACATATCAGAGAAATCGGATACATTTTAATTCATTGAGAACAAAACGAAACAAAAACAATCAGAAAAAGAAAGCTCGCTCGTTTAAAAGGTTATGGTTGGAATCATAACGATTCGAAAGTTTGAATGGAAAGAAGATTAAAAAGAGCTTTTGAACTGTAATAGTGTGAGATTCTCATTCTTGTCATTTCAATTGGTCACTCTTCAATTTTACCAAGGCTTTTGTCTATAGAATCGTACATCTAAGATTACTTTTGGCATATTTTCTTTGCCGAGTGCAATTCTCAGGGAGACTCAAATCGTTCGCTAATACATAAGAAAACAAAACTGTTAAAGGCTAGGAAAATCCTGATGAAATTCATTTTTATTTTAACTTTTTCCAGTTTCTAAGGAACGTGTGTGAAATTTCGTCTTTGGTAATTTTTCCCTGATCAAGACTATTAAATGCGGCTTACAGCACAGACAATTGAGGCTTCGCACGACTGTATGGCGTAGTTCTAAAATTTTCGTCAATCCTCAAAGGACCCGATGTCCTGCCTCAGAGGTTTCCAAATTTTGGAAAAACAAATGATCTTGTTTTTTTAACCGCTAAGCTGTCATCTTATGCAAGATATCTCTGGATAAAATTTCATTGGGAAAATAACACTTCAGTCCGCTTGTCTTGGCGTGCGATGGCAGGATTTTCTTCTTTCATCTGACCCTTTTTCTTTTGAGGGAAACGAATCTGAGCTCCACTTTTATTAAATGTCTGTGATTCGTACCCTGGGTACGGTTGTACTGGCAGTTCTTGTGTAGCAATTCGCGCGAGATTTTTTTTTTTCAGTTTCTTCTGGAGCAAGATGGTTTTGTGATTGACGTATGGATCAATCAGCGGACTTTTAGTCACAGGATATTAGTTTGATGCGACCGTGGCTAAAATTTGGTAAAAACGCGAAATTACTGCCAATATTTGACTTGCGAAAAATTGGAAAATATTTTAATTCGTTCTAATGCAATCCAGCTCTAAGATTTTAGAATCAAGGGCGATTTTATGTACATTCGTGATTTCCCGGATCACATGAGCAAGTTAATTAAGCAATCTTCCTCAAGTTTGCAAATTGGAGGTCGCACTTATTTTACTCTGCTTGCTGGCAGATGTTTCATTTAAACAAACATAAAAGCTCGAAATTAGGACAATATCGTTCAGTGACACTTACCAAGTATACCAAGCCAATGGTACAATGGTACATTCAAGATACGAGCGGCCCAATATCATATAAATTACCTCACATATGACAGGTGACACAAGATAAATCCTATGTTACAAGCAGAACTGAAAATTCACTTCACTTCACTTTACAGTGTCAAACTCACTCCCAGCGGATGAGAACGGATAGTTCACTCGCGCAGAAGCCATCATGTCCACAATATTACATTTGCTCTTTCTGACATCTCTTACAGCCAAATCTTTTTCGGGTTAGATTGTCGTTATTTCCTGTATGATATTCTAGTTTTTTTTAGTAATTTTGGCGAAAACCTGTGGAGTTCTTAGCTTCAGACTCTTCTAAGAAAACCACAAATTTATAAGTTGAGGCACAAGTCAAGGGGGTAAACTTGTTTCTTGAGCAAAGAAAGCAATGAATTTTTTATAATTATTTTTTTTTTCTTGCTGAAACTGTCAGGAAGAACGAAAGGGGCTGAAAGGAACGAAAAGATAGCCTAAAAAAAGTATTTTAATAAGTAGATAAAGTATGAGATGGAGACAGCACAATTGTGTTGCTTTTAAAGTTCAAATGAGCCAAAGTGATCTCTACCCATGGCAAGACTGAATCAAACAGTTGACCAAAGTAGACGCAATGAAAACATGTGCAGGGCGAGAAATCTAGTAAAAATTCAATTTTGAGCTTAGAATACAAACTGGCTCTTGTTTTGAACAAGGTGATCCGATTTTTTCTCTTCTTGGTGTTCGTTTTAGAAGTCTTTCTTTGCCTCATCAGTTAAAGACTAGCCGCGCATTTTGTCAGTTTCCCCATAAAGTTTGCCGGTGCCCAGAAATACTCGGTGCACTTGAGTAAAAGGAACTTAAATGTTTTAACAACCTTATCGAGACTTTGCATCCCTTTTTATGCTGATTTGGTGTGGGCAGCTAAAGTGGCAAAAATGAGATTAATTTGGCTGAAAAATAAAAAAAAAAACGGGTTCACCCTCGATCTTTTTAATTCCCGCCGACAATCCAAAACCTACGATATTTCAGAATAATTCTTCCCCCTTTCAGTTAATTTGCTTTCTCAAACTTTGAATATTTAGAAACTAAACCGGTTTTAGCCTCATGCACTCTGTAGCAATTATCACGGTCACGACTTAGTTCTATTAGCCGTATTTTATGGGGGAAAAAGTGACAAATCTGCCATTAAGTCACAATAAATTAAAAGCCCTTTTTTCGTAGTCGAAGTGGCTGAAAAGAAAGGTTCTGTCGATTTGTTGTATTTATCTGAGTTTTTGTCGCAGCACATTATTAAAACCTTTCAAAGTCTTCAAAGAGTTTCCTGGTAAAAACAAACAATGGCTTCTTGGCCATTATGCGCTTTGGCTGAATAAGCTATAAATGATAATTTATCAACTTGAAGTTCTACCAATTATTTGCTTTAAGTCTTTTTTTTGTGTTTTATTACCTTTAAAAAATAGAGATGATTAAGATATTTCATCATCGCCTTTGAAGAAGAATTTGTCTCCAACTTAATTCAAAGATAGAGTTCCAGTTTTCATAAAATTATACATACAATTATCTATTGGGGCAGTGGAAATACGTTTATATTAGAAAGTAGGATGTTTCAGAAGAACTTTTGGCCCAATTTCAAATTAAGCTTTGAGAATCGACATAATTACATGAATATGTCATCTTTTAAAAAGGCGTCGAGACCCGAATTTTTCTCAAGCTTCTCTAGCAATTTCTTTCATCGCATGCAGCTCACCTGAGCGGATCACATCTTCACCTTTATATCATAAAATAGGTTGTGGTTTGTCATTGTGGTAAATAATAACTTCAAAAAAGAATTATAATCGTTTGCCTCACGATGTGATTGATTCGGATGTGGAGTTTAATTTATTTGAGAATCAGAAAACGATTGCATCGGAGATTGTTGCCTTTTCCGTCTCCGTTCCCGGAGACAGAAAGGGGCAAGGCTTTACAATCGAATACATTTTTATCAAATGTCAAATGCTGCAAGAAGCCTTACTCCACTAGGGAGAGACATACAGAGAGTTCTTGTCTCAGTTTAAGTATTGTAATAGCAATTTGGTTAAAAATCCATTTTATTCTCCTCAATCCAGGACTGAAAAGTGCTGAACAAGATTGGGGCCCTTCTGACCAGGCAGCTGAACAAAGCTATTTCCTTAAAGAGGAGTTTCATTATCTGGACGTTACTAAGATCAGAAAGTTCACGATATTCGACATGTTTCATTGCGCCCTGGCGTGCCTCCGAAATAGTTTGTGCCTCTCATTAAACATAGCCTCTTCTCGTGGGACAGAAGGAAAGCTTTGGTGCGAATTACTGTCCTCCGATAAGAACAGAAACTACCACAAAAACACGAGTTCGCATAATTTTTCCATTCAGCGGGTAAGAACACCTTAACCATTGTGTTAAAACTCTAACACAAGACATTTGCAAGAGAAAGTATTTAAACGTACTTGTTCTCGACGAGGTATGCTTATTCCCAGCTATCGCAAGTACTGTTCAAGTATTCACAGCGTTGTCTTAACAGTCATTTCCTCTCTTTCAGTCTCCATGTTCTTCATCGCCGTGTCAAAACGGAGGAACCTGCATCCCGAATTTTAACTCCAACACTTTTGATTGTCTTTGTAAAGAAAGTTTCTTGGGAGAATTTTGCGAGAAAGGTAATTCATGAATATTTTTATCTTACTGTCTCTCTCTTCCATACTTTTCTTAACAGTAGAATACATCCGGTTCTAACATCACACTCTATCTTTCAGCAGTAAAATCATGCAAGGAAGTGTACGAAGCAAACAAGTAAGAGGTTTTCACAGCTTGCTCATTTGAACCGATCTTTTCTAAAATCCTATCTTCTGTGACAATGGAGACGCAGAGGTGGCCAGCTGGTTAAAACCACATTGGAACTTAAGAACGGAGCTCGGCGACGTATCAGTCAGGAAGTTTAATAAGTACAAATGATAAAGATTGGCATCATAAGAGAGTCAATTACTTATGTATCTACTCCTCTTGTATATTAACAGACCAAACGTGAGTAAACTGGTTTCTCTTCATCTGGGCTCACAGCCAACGACAGTTCTTTGTCACATGGGAGATTTTGGATGCGGAGATGGAGGATGGACGCCAGTCATGAAGATTAACGGCAATAAGGTACCATGTGGAATCGATCTTCTATCGATTAAGTATCATGATCTTTCACCAAGAGGTATTCATCGACGACGCAAACGATTGGGTCGTACGATTTTTGGGAGATGAGTTGTCACTAACGGGGTATAAGGGGGTGGGAACTATATAAATCTGACTGCCAATAAGAGGGGATCATTATAACACAAAAGAGCCCAAGAGAGGGGGGGTAAAATATATGATTGTGACACGAAAAAAATCCTCCAGTCCCTCCCTGATGATAAAAAATGACCGCTACCTAAATTGGCTCCAATTAACTCTGCATGAATATTGATGACGAAATAATGCCAAACGTTATTTCACCAAGTCATACATATTTCATGATCATTATTTTCCCTTCATTGCAAGGTAAATTCTGACGAAAACAAACAGCTAATTTGGGAAGAGAAATTTATGATCGTCACAAACTGTCTTAAAACGAGCCGGATAATACGACGGATCAATAAAAAACCAGTAATAAATTTTAATCATATTATAAACTATTCTCCCAGAGTACCTTCCACTACGATTCTGGTTACTGGAGTAATAAAATTGAATACAACACCGCCGGAGGGGAGACTGGATTCGACTCACAAGAGACCAAGTTACCTACTTACTGGAACATATCCTTCTCCAAGATCTGTCTCAGCATGAAGATAGGCGAACAGATCAGGTTCATTGTAATAAACATGAAGGCCAGCTCTCTTTATTCATTGATCGCTGACGGGAAAAACCGAAGCACTTCATTGGGTCGTGCCACGTGGCCTCGTTGCAGGTTTACCGTAACACGGAAGGGTTCAATATTATGTGTGGTGGGTCTGGTAACTCCAAAGCAAGAATCGGCACCGCTACTAACAACCAGGATGACTGCCTCTCTTGCGACTCCAGGATTGGATTTGGTACAGGAGGACGATATGACCCCTATAACACCTGTGGAAATGAGGCTACTCGTGAACCGGATAAAGGAGATAAACACATTAAAGCCATGGGTTACATTTTGGTTTATTGAAACCAAAAGAAAAACACGGAAAGTTCATTCAGATGTTAAGATTACGTTCAGAACGATTCAGTAAGAAATAAAAGGTTTGGTTGGGGCAAATTTTTCCCTTTGTTTCCGTTTTCTCACCTACTTGTCATCGTGTACTTTTTTTTTGCTCTTCGGTATTTTGTTAATTACACTCCTTTGTTACGTGCTGTAGGTAAATTTAGTTATCTAGTTTGTTGTCTCGCCCCTTTCTTATGTAGAAGTCTATCATGAAATTTTTCACTATCTGTATGTCTTGTTAGGATATCTGCATGACACGACTTCCGTCCTTATTGAATTTTACAAAAGCATATGCCACACAGCATAATGCACAACAGCTTCTAGGTAATGCGTACTCAATCAACCTCATGGCCTAAAGAAGACTAACAGTATGCAGTCGAACGTTGCCATTCACATTCAAAGTGACCACATCGTGAGACAAACAATAATATTAGTCTCTTATAATGAAAAGGTTATTTACTACGATGAAAAACCCCAATCTTTTTTACCACAAAGAACTAATAGTTGTGCTTTGTACTGATGAATGTTGGCTCTGACAATCGTATACGGTGGGCCCTCTTAACAAACAAATGCTATTACTATCAAGATGATTTAATCAATCTTGGGATCGACCCATTTCCGGCACGGTTACAATCTGGATACGACAGGTCCTCTGATATATTAACGGATTGATTTTCTTGTTCATGTTTTTTCCCTTTTCTTTTGTCTAAGGCACCCCTCGATCGACCTCGACCCCATTGAAACGCTCATATCTAAGGTCGCTGATTATCTGATGTATTAAAAGAAC